GTATTCCTTTTTCCCCTGGGAAAGCACCAGGGAGAAAGTTCGAGGCAGGTTTCTTAGATGGATGGCCAGATTTCTATCTTAAATTAATCCCGAACCCCTGTGTTTAGAAATGCCTGCCAAAGCAAACCATGTCTATAACCAAAAGCCAGTGATTTCTGGGTTGGCCACTGGCCCAGTAACTCTACATAAGCCAATGAAATGATGCCTACAACTGTCTGTGTGCCAATATGGGTTCTGCTGTAGCAATGAATTTGATCCAATGTAAGGTTAAGAGATGTCAAATTTAACTGGGGTTTAATTGATACTGGTAAGAGGTTCTAACTAAAGAAACAGTGTGTGCACTATCGGCAACAAGCAACACGTCAGGCTTCATTCTCCCCAGTTTTCTCGGCAACTCTGTTAGAGCAAGACATTCAAATTAGTTTTTAAACTCAAGTTTCTAAAATACAATTTCTTTTGGAGAAAGCTGGGTTAACAGGTTTATCAGCACTTTATTGTGTTGGATATCACAGAATTAATTAGTCTGCAGTTACTTCTCTATCACAGAGTTTAGCTTAAACAAACCATGTCAAAAACTCAAACTCAACCTGTCCAACAAGAACTCCTTTTACTTAAAGCACCCACTATTCCATATAGATCTCCTCTTCAGAAAACACCCCCTTGACTACAGTTTTTAAAGAAATGCTTTATTTTTTTATTTTTTGATAGGCAGAGTTAGACAGTGAGAGAGAGAGACAGAGAGAAAGGTCTTCCTTCCGTTGGTTCACCCCCCGACCCCACCAAATGGCCGCTATGGCCGGCACACTGTGGCAATCTGAAGCCAGGAGCCAGATGCTTCCTCCTGGTCTCCCATGCAAGTGCAGGGCCCAAGCACTTGGGCCATCCTCCACTGCCTTCTCCGGCCATGGCAGAGAGCTGGACTGGAAGAGGAGCAACTGGACAGAATATGGCGTCCCAACCAGGACTAGAACCCTGGAGTGCCAGCATCACAGGTGGAGGATTAGCCTAGTGAGCCGGGGCGCCAGCCCCCTAACTCTTTCTTGAATATTCTGCTTTCCAAACATCTTTGAAAGAGGTTATGTTTTCCTCATGTAGGATCTCTGTCTTTAATGTGCTGTACATTGTGATTTAATGCTATAGCTAGTACTCAAACAGTATTTTTCACTTTGTGTTTCTATGCGGGTGCAAACTGTTGAAATCTTTACTTAATATATGCTAAGCTGATCTGTATATAAAGAGAATTGAAAATGAATCTTGATGTGAATGGAAGGGAAGAGGGAGTGGGAAAGGGGAGGGTTGCGGGTGGGAGTGAAGTTATGGGGGGGAAGCCATTGTAATCCATAAGCTGTACTTTGGAAATTTATATTCATTAAATAAAAGTTAAAAAAAAAAAAGAAAGAGGTTATGTTTAAAGAACTCCTTCTTTAAAAACAATAAATGAGCTATTGGTGAAGAGTGACCTATTCTCTTCCAGAAACAAGAAAGCTGACTATTATTTTCAAAGGAGTTTAAAATTGGTTTGAAGTAATTTGAAAATAGCCTAACTTAAGACACATTAAATCTTCATTATCTCTTTGTGTAAAGAGCTGTGTTAGTTTCCATGCGTATGATTCAATGTATGTGCATACAGTTTGTTTTCTAGTTTACATTACATGTTAGTATAAAACAATTTTATCAGTTGCAACTATGTAACTCTGTGAATGAAAAGCTTCTTCAGTTCTTATTAAAATATTTTAAGTGGACTATTAAAAACTGTAGATATCACCAGTCTAAAAGCTCATTCTTGCTATTGTTGTTTTATCTTTGCAGTTGATTTCATCCTATTTTTATTGTTCTGTATTGTGTATGGTTACTCAGTCAACCAAAGTATTCATTTCTTCGGCGCTGATTTGCATGAGACTGTGGAAGGGATAGCCGGAGTAGTGGCTGAGGAAATCCCGCTCTCAGAAGCAATCACTACCTGAATAGTTTGGAGACCACAACTTGTACTACTGGCTAAGGAGCCTAATGATGGGATTTTGTCCTTTTTTTCTTCCAAATATTTTTGTTAGCTGAATTCATTGCTCTCGATGTCTCAATTACCTGGAGGAAAAAAAAATGTAATATGGATTGCAATCTTGGGATTGACTTTATACCAGATATTTTAATTCTGCTATTTTAGTTTAATGACTTTTGAACAAGAACTGTATGGTTCTGTATACAGATATGCAAATTCTTCTGGAAACAAAAAGAAATCATCTTACAAATAAATATGCTTCAATTTCAGTGTCTAGAATAGTAAATATTTACATAAATAATAAAAATTAATTGTGACTCTAAGCTTACATATTTAAAGAAAATGAACCCAGAAGTAGGGAATTTGTTACCGGCTTTCAACAGGAAGTTCTCCAAGAACTTGAAGAACCTGAAGTGGAGTTACCAATCCAAAGTGTTTTCTCCTTTAGTGCAGCCACCTTTGAACACCGAATTTTTAATTTAGTGGTTAAAAACTCTCTTGCATGTCGTCTGTGAAAATTGTCTCAGAGGGCTGCAGACTTAGGGCTGGTGCAGCTCTCCAAAGAGCAGTTTGGGAAGCCCTACAGAGAGGTCAAGCCACCAGCAGGGCGTACCAAAAGTCAGTCCGATATATGATGTCCCAAACTGTGCCAAACTCCCACCCATTCAATGGGTTTCCAAATAAATTGTCTCATTCTAATAGCATATAAAAATACCATAAATTTTGATGCTGTATTCATTTTATTTATACATAGACTTTAGAATTTCTCCCATGGCAGCCTTACATATCATTTAATAACACTTACCCTTTGATATCTTCTATTATCTTTTACTATTAGAATGGGCTACTTATTTTATTGAATGAGTTTTCTATTTCTTAACATTGCTTTAATAAAATAGAAACTACATATTTTAAACATTTATTGTTTAACCAGCAGCACTGAAAATTTCATGATCAGTTTAACCTTAATACTTCAAAATAGACATATTTTCTCTTAGCAATGATAGTTTTATTTTTTCTTTCCTATCTCAAATATTTTACTTTTTGTTTTATTGTAAAGGGCAGTCTTTATTGTCTTTTTGTGTTGCTAGTATTTCCAAGAGGGGTCATCTTTATTTTGGTTTCAGAAGAATGCCTGGAAGCTTTCTAGGTTAAGAATGGTGTCTGCTGTTGGTTTTTGATGGGTAGACTTATCACAGTAAGGAAGTTTTTGGGTTTTTTTTGCAACTTATCATAAATCTGTGTTGAGCATTTCCAAGTAACTTTTTCACTTCTGCTGAAGGTTTTATTATTATTATTTTCATGGTATAGTTAACATTATAAATGTTATCATTATAAATGCTTACAAGGGTGCAAAGCCAGGAGCCAGGAACTCGATCCAGGTCTCACCTGGGTGGCTGGAACACAACCGTTTGAGATATCATAACTGCCTCTCAAGTTCTGTGTTAGTAGGAAGCTGCAGTCAGGAGCTGAAGCTGGGAATTTATCCCATGTACTTTGATGTGGGACTCCAGGTCTTAACTGGCATCTTAACCAGGCCAGACGCTTGCCCCATATGACATATTTTAATGGATTGCTGGATCTAGCTTCCTGATTTGAATGTTTATTTCTTAAATATATGTTTGCATATGATAATGAACTACAATTTTTCTTCAAACTTATGGTTGCTCACAGTTTTCAAAAAAACTCTCAAGTAATCTTATTTTCTCTTACATTGCTTGATTTCAAGGAGATAGCCATTGAGTTACCCTCCTTTTTTCCCCAGCTTTATTAAAGTGTCATAGACAAGCAAAATTTACACATATCAAGGTGTACAATGAAATGTTGTGATATGTGTGTACATTGTACTATGCTACTATCAAGCTCATTAACATATCCATCACTCTCACTGTTAGCATTTTGTTGTTTGTCAAGAGAACCATTAAGATCCAGGCTCCTAGCAAATTCCAAGTAAACCATGCAATGCTGTTATATTTATGAGAACTGACTCACCTTGCATAACTGAAACTCCATACATTTTAAAGAAATGACCTTGGGTTTTTGTATTATTCTTACTGAATATCTTTTGTTTTCTAGCACTTCTGTTAATCTAAAATAATGCATCCTTTCTGGTTTTCTCAGATTTAGTTTGCGGTTCTGTTTCTAACTTTTGAAATTAAATAATTACTTTATTAATTCATTTCTCTTAGAGACAAATTAATATTTGGCCCTGAATATTTCTCTGAGTTCTACTTTGTTGTTATTCCATGATTTCTGATAGATAACATCTTTGTTGTTTTTATTTTCTGTATGTTATAAAAATATAGTTTGATTTACTTTGGCCTTAGGGTTCCTTAATTAAAAAGCTTCTAAGGAAAATAGTAATTTATTTTCCACATTATTCTTAGTTTCCTGCTTTCCTGAAGAATCCAAGGAAGTCTTATCTGTGTGCTTAAATATGAAAAACTCTTAATGTTTTAGAATGGATAACTGCTTGGAAGATATACCAATATGTACATGTGGAGTAGTTAATATCAATACATCCATTAGCATTGCCTCACTATTTTATATTATTTTGTAGATATCATTTGTTTTCTCAGTTGCCCTGGGCTGATAGAAGGGATGCCAAATTTCTTACATCTTTGCCTTCCTTTTGTACTTTCCAAAGTTTATAATTCATGAATTATAATGTTATCTAATGTGATAAATAATACTTTTCCAATTATAT